AATATGATTTTATTAGCCTTTACCAACATTTCTCGACCATCGTACCATGGGTTTTTTGGTGAAGTATTGGTAATTGATGTCAAGCAGTTTACCAAGAGGTAAAGGGTTTTTCAAAGAAGAATCCACATGATAAATTTTGAAACAAGGTTTATTTTCATTGGCCACCATTGCCATAACTATTGAATTTACCACCATATCAACCGGAATCTGCAATCACCATAAACACAAATTCTAGGACAGTGTTACTAATTTTGTCTTCCTATATTAGCATGATAAAGAAGTACAGTAGAAAGGATGAGTTTTGACTTACCGAATCAAAGATCGTGTTACTATCACCATTTGTAAAATTGACATATCCTTTACCATTTATGATAGAGACAGTGGCTAAACTTCTGTAATCAGATACATATGAACATATAGATCAAAATTAGTTGTGTTGGACACAAGTTATAAAGCATGCATGAACGTAAGTAATATATGATGCAGACGAGATTTGGTCCAACCCAGATCTTGAGTCATTACAATATTGCAATGCAATGCTAGAGTATTAATTAACAATCAAATAAATAAAGTGGTGTTAATAGTTATTCGAGTGCTCGCTTACCCTGAGCCTTCAACCCAACCAGAGAAAGGTTCTTTGTAAGTACTGCTAATCATGGTAGGACGAACAATAACTACTGGTAAATTTCCTTTGTGCTCGTAGATAAGAATTTCTGCCATGGCTTTCGTAAACACGTAAGTATTAGGCCATCCATACAATTTTGCCCTGTACAATAAATACATAATCAAAGCCATAAAAGATTTGATTTTAACATACCAAATAACATATGTACGTGTCTGACAGAAAAGAAGAGAGAGTTAAATACTTTATAAGGCTAAGAGGTTACTTCTCCTATTGCCGAATAATTTTTAGATGGAACATTGGAACCTTATTTGTTCTTGTGAAATGAACTCTCTTTTTGTATTTAACATTTATTATATATGCTTTGTATAAAAACAAGATGTATAGCAGTTTGGGCGGTCTAGGGTCGGGGGGGTTCTAGTGGTGCAGGTTTGGCCTTGGGGAAGGGGTGTGCCGGATATGGGGCTGGGGGCGGAGGCTGCGTCGAGTGGCCTGGGAGCAGAGAAGAGGGCGGTGTGGCTGGGTAGTTAAGGTTTTTTTTTCTTTTATTTTTTTTTCCTTTTTGAGTGATATATAACAAAGTGACAAATGACAATGTGGCCCCCACTTAACGGCTTTTTAGACGGAATTAGTTAAGGGTAGTAAAATTCAATTTTTAAAATTTTTATTGGTGTTAAAATAATTTTTTTTGGTGACGTTAAAAATCAATTTCAACCTTTTTTTGGTGTTAAAAAAACAAAATTTCCTTAATATTATTACTTCATATTGGTTTTCAGGGAGCTACAAAGGCAGGACAAGATCTCGTTGAATTGGAGGGAAGTTCTAACCACTTGAATTATCTTTCACTTTCGGTTAACCAACAATATGCATATGGGGATATGATTTAGAGCTTGTTTAGTTCACCTTATTTTTGCTTATTTGGTTTTGTCTGATCTCATCTGATTTAGTCTAGTCTGATTTGACCAAACTTTGAGCTTATGTTTACGATAATGTATAAGAAAAAAATATACAAAGTGTAGTCTTATTATATTCATAATAATGTGTACTTTATTAACATAGTATAATTTTCATATTTTTTTTCATATGTAGTGATAAAAATCGCACATAAAATGATAATTTGGATCTGAACATGTTTTTTCTTATCTGATATAAACTTATTTTTAATGAAATAAGTCAATAAATTAAACTAAGCAAGACATTAATTCTACGCCCATCTAAATCCCTTTATTTATTCTTAAGAATTTATTTATTCTTAAGAAAAAAGGTCCAAAATCTTACCTTCTTAGCCCTAATTGTTTCATGGTGTCTCGGACTTGTTTAGAGGAAGCTCCCTTGATTGTGAGATCATGCAATGTGTTGTCAACCAACTTCTTTTCTGTATCAATGTCAAATCCATTTATTCCACCACCATTCTTACCCAAATTATACAGTGTTTCTGGAATAAGACCGGCTTTCTCTCCGCAAACATAAGCTATAATGTTGAAACAAAGCAATCAAGTATTATTAGAGCAACTCCAACAGTGTAAAATTAGGACTAGCTTGCAATTTATGAAACTAATAAATAATTAGCTTAACCATTGGAATTGCATTACCAAATTAGCTGGGCAAAACTATTCGCTTAGCTAAGCTAATTAGCTTAGCAAATTGTGGGATTAAAAAAATTTAAATAAATAAAAAATTTATTGAAAATTAGCTTAACCATTGTGGGATTAATTAGCTACAAGGTAGATTAGTTTTGCAATCTTAGGTGGCATGGCAAGCTAATTTCACAATTAGCTTACCATTGGAGTTGTTCTTACTACTTAAACATAAGACCGCCTTTTCTGTATCAAGTACTACTAAATTCAATTATTATGCTTCGAATTAGGAAATCTGGTGTCAATTATCTAATTAATTCTTATTTTTGTAATGAAGCAAAGATGAATTAAAATATGTCCTCATAAAAAAAAAAAAAAATCATGTTTTCACTAACCCGTTGAAACATTGATAAGAATTTGCAAATTAGGACACATCTGTGCAAAGCCAATGATATTTCTAGCTCCGAATGTTGATTCCCAAAGCCAAATCATACCTAATATATACATAACAATAATATTTTAACCCTTGTAAATTAATTAATATCTACAAAATAAGTGTTTTTTGATGTTTAGAGAGCCACAAGGGCACTCTCAATATGTACCAAGTATGTAATATAATACGAGTACAAATAATTTAACAATCCACCAAAAAATAATTAGATCATAAAATCACTTTAATTTCTTTATTACCTCTCCTCAAATTTAATATTTCCAGCTGAATGAATGATTGCGTCAATATCTTTATGAAAGTCGCTATTATCGTTTGTTAAACCCAGATTGATTAATGACGTATCTCCAACAACTGGAACAACTTTTTCTGATATGAAGAAATCAAATTGTGTACCATGTCTTTCTCTTAGCACACGAAACAAATCCTTGCCAACGATCTACGTACATACATGAACAATTACGTATACATTAAGTGCATGCTATAGCTTCATTCATCAAACATAAATACACGTATGCTTATGCAAATGTTAAGTCGGTGTTAGATAAATTTACTACCTCTGTTAAATATTACGTGCAACCTTGGGGTATTATTTGTATAGATGGATCCAAGGGGGGACTACTCGGGCCTTGGCCCTCCGCCCTCACCCCCCCCAATGCCCAGATTTTGATATTATATAAATAAAAAATCTTGTATAAGTATTCAAGTTTTATAGTTGACTTAGTTGGTTAGTTACTTGTTCCATAACTTTGGAAGGTCAAGGTTCAATTCCCTTGTTAGAATTTTTTTTTTTTTTTTGGTGTGGATTTCTTAAACTCATATCCCTTTTATGGCTTTATTATTTGAAATGCTTTATAACTTCGGCCCGGGCTATTAAAAATTTCTGGATCTACCCTTGATTATTTGTTAGATATAAAATATTCCAAAGTTGCACACAACATTTAACGGAGGTAATATTTCCTAGTTAAGCTAGTGTACGTATATAAGATACCTCATTATGTAGTCTTTCAAGTGTTGATTTGTAATCCTTAGCTCTTAAAAGAAGGTACAACTTCTTCACATTTGGCTGAACTCGAAGTATCTTCTCCACGAGTACTACATTTTATACAAGAAAGAGAAGGGCAGAGTTTATGCAATCTTTGGCGTGCTACTTTTTATGAAAGTTTGTTAAAGTAGAGTGTATGAATAGTCAAAACAGAGTATATGAAAAATGCATAAGATAAAAAAGCGTTACAATATTAGTAAAAGTATAAAACATCAAATTGAAATAGAAATTGAAATTATGCAAAAGGGACAAATACAAGTTTATCTGCCAGATAAACGAATTTTTGTTAATCTGATGACATTTTTGTAAATATATTGAAAAAGTGTGGTCATTTATTTATTCATAACTTTTGGTAAGCTGTCCAATTACTGTTTGCAACTTGCTTTTACTATTTGGTGAGGAAATTACACATGTACACCTCAACTAGTATATAAAAAGACACATATACCCTTCCATTGGTACTTGAAAATACGATTATACCCCCAGATAAACAAATGAGGAATTAACTGGGTACAGCTCGTGCAAAAGCATATAGAATGGGAAGTAAACACATAAATCTAGCTAGAAAGAGCAAGATGAGGGAAATGACCTTTAGCAAGGAAGCCAGTTGAGCCGGTGATTAAGATTGTTTTGTTGCGAAGAAACTCAACTCCATTTCCAACTTCCATTTGTATACCAAACATATGTATAACGTTGAGTATTTGGGATTACAAGATTTAAAGAGTATTTCAAGATTTAAAGAGTAACTCGTTCATGCAAAATATGAATGAAACTATGCAAGTACTTCATCACATTAGATTCTTTAGAGCATGAGCATTGGTGAGGTTACTCACCATTATCCACCTCACTTTCAACTATCTTTTTTATTTTATTTTTTTCCAAATCATCTTCCACCTCACCTTCCACTATCATAAGCTACTAGTGTGAGTCACCTTATTTATTTATCTACAATGGTGAGGTTACTCACCATTCTCTCTCCTAACTACCCCATCATTTTCTCTTTCTCACTCTTGTTTTATTTTATATTTTTTAAAACATGTATTAATCTCTATTATTTATTTGTAATTTTTGAACTTACATAATTAATTAAAAAAAGTTAGACATTCTTTAGTGCAATATTAATAGTCATTATAAATAGTACAATATTAATAATCACTTATGTATGTAAATTGAAACAATTTTTTTTTCTAATTTTTGAAATAAAAAGTACAAAAATAATACAATATATAAATAACATAGTTTATTTAGTAAAGACATCCATTAAAATTAAAAATACAATATTCATTAACAGCGACTTTTGTCATCTCTTCATTCGTTGCCGAAACGTCCCCATATATGTTCAACCAAGTCATTCTTTAGTGCAATATGGGTCTCCCTATCACGAACATTATTTCTATTTTTCATATAACCATTTAGATTGAGCCTATCCAATCGTCCACTTCTCACAGTAAATGGTTGGTTGTTGTTACTAGTTGATGATTCAGCTACATTTTGGGGTTGGTCATTGATAAATTCAGTTGCATCATAATGCAAATATCCATCTCGCTCATCTTCAACAATCATATTGTGCATGATAATACAAGCCATTACAATTTTCCATAAAATTTCGGTCGACCATGCTAGACTTGGTTGACGTATTATTGCAAATCGAGCTTGTAACACTCCAAAGGATTTCTTGTCAACATGTGACATTTCAATGTAGCATTGCATGTCGGTCATATTTTACAACATTTCTCATTATTGAGCTAATTTTATATTATTATTATTTACAAGATATAATTTATTGGGTAATAAACAAAGAGCAATTATATTTATTGGAAGATTGGTTATTTGGATTATTTTGAGAGGAACCACTTCCGTAATTAGGATTATTAAGATCCATAATCACAAATTATTTTTATAATGAAAAAAAGAAGAGTGAAATTTTAAGGGTGAGAAACTATATCAATATTAGGCTCTATTTATAGATAAAATTATAATTATACCGTTGGTGAAATTATTTTTTTGGAAATATGTTTAAATGAAGTGAGAAACTACCGTTGGAGCATTATAGCAATACTAACTGTTAAAAATTAATATAGCCGTTGCATTCTACAGCAAACAACAAACACAAATAGCAAACATCAAACACAACTTGCAATATTCATGACAAGTGTCATGTGATAATTGGACCTAAAAAAAATCAGATTCTTTGGTTTAGAAAGTCAGCAACTCACGCTCATACTCAGTGCCGCTTCAGACGTTGCTACCTCATACTGTGAGTAAGTAATGAGTCAGATATTTCAATGGTAAGCTAACTCAAAAAAAGTGAGAGATAGTTCTGAAGAGGGTACTGACTCACCGTTGTACACGCTCTTAGAGGTCTATATATATATTATACTGACAATATTGTATGTAGATTACTAGCTATATAGAAATGTATGAGTCAAGTACAAACAATTGGCTGGCCTGGGTTATTTATTGATGATTTGATATGTCTTCAATGAGATCATATAGTTGATTCATTGATAAGATCTGGACTCCGGAGTACAAAATTAGGTTGATTCATTGATAAGTATTACTGTATAAAATTATGCTTGATCTGTTGATGTTTCAAAATTGTACAAGTTAAGCAAGCGTAAGAATGATCCATATATTTATTATTACTTGTGCTAAATATGGCAATATCAAATATGGTTGATATTGCCTTTATTGTGACAAGACTGACAACTGACAAGGAATATAATACGAGTAGTGCGTAAATATATAGAAAAAAACTCACCACCTAACATAAATCTAATTGGTACGTGTTTAACCCTTCACTTAGCTTTGCCACATTTTTATTCTTCAACAATCACAAAACCACTTCGATCTAGTGTTTAACCAATGAGATGTATGCACACTTCAAAGTGCACATTATCCATATGTATGATATTTCTCTCGATGGCATAATACAATTTTTTTTTTTTTTGAATTGAAACATTACATAATACATAAAAAAAAATACATATCGAATCAAACTACTCCATTTACATTTAAAAATGTGTTTATTTGATAGTCATAGCTAAAATTGGATATATATGTCTAGTATAATCCACTCAATCCTTTAACCCTTCTTGAAAAAGGGAAAAAAAAAAATCTTTTTGATATTCACCTTTAGATTAAATATCAAAATAATATACATATAATCAATACTTGCAAGTTGCAACTAGAAGTACTAAAACAGTGATAAAAGAAAAAAAAAAAGTATTACAATAGATCAGATAATGAAGTTTATTTTAGCTTTAACAAATGAAAGCATACGTTAAAACAAGTATTTGACTGTTGCTGGAATATGATTGTTAAGAAGATAGTCTTCCCAATCAATGCACTTTGGATCGAAGTTAAAACCTTCTTCTTCCATCCCATGTTTGCTCATCGTTGTCCTTAGCTTCTCGGTGTTCTCGTCCTCGAATCTACGATAATGTAGGCGAAATTGATGATACATTGTTAATAAGGAAAATTATATCGATGATTTTTTATACTACTACACATTATTCATTCAAATTAAGCCATATAATAATAGGGGGCTTATGTAATTGGTTGCCTTACATAGGACCAATATTCAAATGTTACATTTATGGAATATAGAATTTAATTTGAAATAATACAAGGGTGGATGTGTAACACTTACATGCCCGCAAACGATGTATTACATATTTACATGTATAGGGCCTGAAATTTGTTGCAACTTTATATGTCACCTTTATGTACATTTCAAGTTTATCTTGATAAGCCTTGAAAAAATGACATGATGCTATATCCACTAATTTTAACATCTGCAAAAGATTAAATAATTCAAAATTAGAAACACATAATTAATTAAGTATGATTTCATTTATCATGCTATCAATTATATACATGAACTTCTTCCGACCAAGAAAGTTAAAATAAATACCCAATAAAAAAATTTGCGAAAAAGAAAATTTACCAAGGACACAACGATAAGCAGAACTAATAACATTTGGAATTGAACTCGACTCTTCACCAATCTGAACTTATTAGTCTTTACCAACGTTCCCTGACCATTATACCATGGGTTTTTGGCGAAGTATTTGCTATGGATGTCAAGTTCTTTACCAAGAAATAAAGGGTTTCTCAAAGAAGAACACACATGGTAAATTTCTAAACAAGGCTTATTTGCATTTGCTACCATTGCCGTTAGTATTGAATTTGCCACCATATCAACCGGAATCTGCAATCACCATATTATATAGTTCAAATTATATATATTATGCAAAAAGGAATAAGGATTTGTTTTGACTTACCGAATCAAAGAGAGTGTTACCATCACCGTTTATAAGATTGATATATCCTTTACCATTTAGAATAGAAACATTGGCTAAACTTCTGTCATCAAATAATAAGCATGAACATACAATTTAAAATAAATTAGCTAGATATAAGTTGTGAAACATAAATGTAAGTATGATGTAGACGAGAATTGATGCCAACTGTTTTAAAATTTTTACTAAACTACTAGCTAGACATTATCAATATACACAATTATATATGCATCAATGCATGTGATTATTTTATGAGTTACGTACTTTTGTCATTCTATTACATACAATTTCAACATTCAAATAAATTCTATTCATTGTATATTAAGAGCTTGCTTACCCTAAACCTTCAATCCAACCAGGAAAGGGTTCTTTGTAAGTGCTGCTAATCATGGTAGGGCGAATAATGACTAGTGGTAAATTTCCTTTGTGCTCGTGGATAAGCGTCTCTCCCATGGCTTTCGTAAACACATAAGTATTAGGCCATCCATACAATTTTGCCCTGTATAATATAAGTAATCAACATCTATAACAAGAATACTAGATTTATAGCTTAATTTAATAATTTGATCTCCAACTTTTTAATTCAATAATTTATAGAATTGAATATCCTATCGCGTCCATGATTGTGACAATATATATTAGGTTGTTAAATTCAACTACCAATAGTAATAATGCATATATTTAAAAACTAATCAATTCATTTTATTACTCCATCCGTTTCATAATGTTAGTCCCATATACTATTTTGGGCGTTTCAAAAAGTTCTACCCATATTGAATATATATCATTTATGACTTGATTTTTTTTACTTTAATTGATTGTGGATTGATGGCATGACTCTAAGTAGGGAAATTTTTACCTTAAATTATGCAATTATGACTTGTGCTTTCCTAATGAAAAATAAAAAAAGTTAAATAAGGTAAACTAATTATGAAATCTGTTGTACTTTAATGTTAGATTCCAAATATATTTGTTTTCTTATTTTATGTGATTGATTCCATATGAGACTAACATTATGAAACAGATGGAGTAAGATATAACATCAGGTATCATATATGGAGTACAAATTTATTTATTGACTTATAATAAGGAAAGATCCTTTCACCCATTCATTCCTGTAACCTGCTGCTACCAACTGCTCTATTTGTGTGCTGTGTGCTGTCATAGTACTATAGGAATTTTTGTATACCGTTGCTGCCTTGTTTTCAGTGCAATGATTAGTTGTAGGTGATTCTGTAATTTTGTCATCTTGTGACTATTTATTTCTTTGGCTGCCCTCTCTGTAAGCTCAAGCAGAGCAGATATTTTCTAAACCTAATATCATCTCTTCTTCTTCTTTCTCTTATCTCTTTTCTCTCTTCTCTCTATTTTAATGTCCTCTTGCACCAACTATATTCAGCTCATCAACTTATACGACGATGACTTAATTAATGCTTAAAATTGATTACATGCATAATAGATGACGATCAAGAGAGTTTCGAAAAATAATTAAATTACCTTTTTAGACCCAATTGTTTCATGGTATCTCGGATTTCTTTAGAAGAAGCTCCCTTGATTGTGAGATCAAGCAATGTGTTGTCAACCAACTTCTTTTCTGTATTAACATCAAACCCTCTAATCCCACAACAATTCTCATCCAAATTATACAGTCTAATGAAGGTATCTTTATCTCTCAGAGAAAGTACACTATGGATTTGCTCAAGGATCAAGGCATGCTGCAAGTCAAACCTCTAAAGCTGCCCATGGATTCTCATTTGAAGCTCACTGCAGACAAGGGCACTCCTCTCTCTAATCCTGTTGAGTATCAACATTTGCTGGGAAAGTTGATCTATCTAACAGTTACAAGACCAGATATTGCTTTCTCAGTGCAAATTCTGAGTCAATTTATGCATTCACCTACAGCAACTCATTTACAGGCTGCAAAAAGGCTCCTGAGATATCTGGCTGGAACTGTGAACCAAGGAATTTTGCTTGCTTCTTCTTCTACTGCTGAACTGATAGCATATTCAGACAGTGATTGGGCAAGCTGTCCTAACACCAGGAGATCAACTACAGGATATTGCATTCTGTTAGGAAAATCTCCAATTTCTTGGAAGGCAAAGAAACAGTCAGTTGTAGCAAAATCAACTACTGAAGCAGAATACAGGGCAATGGCATTAACTGCTTGTGAAGTCACATGGCTCAAGGCCTTACTGAAAGACCTAGGAATCTCTTCTCTGGCACTAGCTCTTCTACAAAGTGACAGTCAAGCAGTTATAGCTATTGCAGCAAACCCTGTGTTACATGAGAGAACAAAACATGTTGAAATCGACTGTCACTATGTAAGATACATGGTCAACAATGGCTCTATAATTACTCAGCATGTGGCTTCCAAAGATTAACTTGCAGACATCCTAACAAAGATTCTAAATGTGAAGCAGCACAATGATATTATGCTCAAGCTGGGTGTTCAAGCTTCACCCCACACTCAGCTTGAGGGGGGGTAATAAGGAAAGATCCTTTCACCCATTCATTCCTGTAACATGCTGCTACCAACTGCTCTATTTGTGTGCTGTGTGCTGTCATAGTACTATAGGAATTTTTGTATACCGTTGCTGCCGTTTTCAGTGCAATGATTAGGTGTAGGTGATTCTGTAATTTTGTCATCTTTTGACTATTTATTTCTTTGGCTGCCCTCTCTGTAAGCTCAAGCAGAGCAGATATTTTCTAAACCTAATATCATCTCTTCTTCTTCTTTCTCTTATCTCTTTTCTCTCTTCTCTCTATTTTAATGTCCTCTTGCACCAACTATATTCAGCTCATCAACTTATACGACGATGACTTAATTAATGCTTAAAATTGATTACATGCATAATAGATGACGATCAAGAGAGTTTCGAAAAATAATTAAATTACCTTTTTAGACCCAATTGTTTCATGGTATCTCGGATTTCTTTAGAAGAAGCTCCCTTGATTGTGAGATCAAGCAATGTGTTGTCAACCAACTTCTTTTCTGTATTAACATCAAACCCTCTAATCCCACAACAATTCTCATCCAAATTATACAGTGTTTCCGGAATAAGCCCGGTCTTCTTTCCACAAACATAAGCTATTTCGACGATGAAATCAAACACAAGAAATGTTACCAGATTTATCAAAAATCTAAATTTTTTTAAAATTCAAAGACACAATATATAGTACATCACAGTATCCGAAAAATGCATTTCATTTTAATTTTCTACAAACTTAATTGTAACTTACAATAATCATTTCTTCGAATTAGGGTTTATAATGTTGATTATTATTTAATTTTTATTTTTATAAGAAAATGTATTAAAATATCAAGCTTTAATTTCACTGACCCGTTGAAACATCAATAAGAATTTGCAAATTAGGGCACGTCTTTGCAAAGCCAATGATATTCCTTGCTCCAAAAGTGTTGATTCCCAAAGCCGAATCATACCTATATATATCAATAATCATATCATAATCCTCATAAACAAATATTGTATTATATAAAATTCGGGAAATGATTTTGACACACCTTTATATGAGAGCATAGTTTTCTATGCTCTTTTCACATAAGAGCGTGCCAAAATCAATTAAGGATGTGTCAAAATCTATTTCCATAAAATTCATATAGTACCAAATCTCCAAAAGATCATACTTCACAATCACAAAATTTATTTATTACCTCTCCTCAAATCTAGTAATTGCTGCTGAATGAACGATAGCATTGACTTCCTTACAAAAGTCGCTATCATTGTTCGTTAAACCCAGATTGATTGATGACACGTCGCCAGTAATAGGTGCCACTTTTTCTGATATGAAAGAATCAAATAAGTTGCCATGTCTTTCTCTTAGAACTCGGAACAAATCCTTCCCAATGATCTGCATAAGTGCATATATACGATCAATCACGTGTACATTAAGTGTCATATAGCTTCAACAATATAAACATTGATGAACATACGATAATATGTAAATATTTTCCGGCTTAAGATCATCTTCAATGGTGAAACTCAACTTTGAGTATTGAAATACAAAATGAGTTGTTTTTTTTATCTTTAATGGTGATACCCAACTCACTTCTCAATTTAGCAACTCATGTAAAGTCTAATTTCCCAATGATGGTGAGACTTTCTAAAGTATACTAATGTCACTTTCAATTTATGGGCCATCAAATCATATTATAAATTTTTTTTAGAGAAAAAAAAAATTAAACTTAAATAGATTGCAAAACATATTATAATATTGAATAATAACCCACACTTTTTGTCAAATAAGACTTAAAGTTGAGTATCTAAACTTAGCAACTTTCTTTTGGAGTTGCGAAATTTAGATACCAACTTATTGGTACCCTTTACAAAAAATACTCTCTCTCTCTTCCAAAGAAACTCTCTCAAGTCAAACCAATGGAGAAGGTCTAAGCACAAAATAAATACGAAGTAATTAAGATACCTACCTCACTATGTAGTCTTTCAAGTGCTGCTTTGTTATCCTTAGCTCTTATAAGAAGATATAACTTCTTCACATTTGGCTGAACTCGAAGTATCTTCTCTACGAGCACTACATTTAGAAGCTATTAGCTAATTGATACTTGTACAATTTTATTTTATTTTATTAATTAATTATTTTTTAATTGTTCATGCATGCATCCAACATCAAAAAATAAATTGTGTCAAAAAAAAATAGGAAAATTTGTCTGGAAAGGACATATATGTTCAGTTGTTCACTATTTTGTCTGGAAGGACCTTATATGTTTAAAGTGGTTTAAAAGAATCTTATAAGTTTATTTTGTTGTTTAGGGAGGGACCTTGAGGTCTGAATCCGAAAATAATTGACTTATTTTTTCGACGTTGACCTTTCACGTGACTTTAAAAAATGACCTCTTTTTTTTTCCACGATTTCCCTCCAATTCCTTCTTCTCTCTTCTAATTCCCAAATGACACATAAGGTCCCCCCAAACAACAAAATCAATAAGGTCTTAGACCAACTTAAACATATAAGGTCCTTTTAGACAAAATAGTTAACATATTTGTTCCTTGTAGACAATTTTTCCAAAGATATTGTTTCGGTTGAAAACAATGGGACCTTGCCGAAGGTCCGTTGAAATGGAGAAGACTGGATTCGATCCAAGTTGTGTTGGGCCGAAGGTTTCCTGCACAGTGAACACACGTAAACTAGCCTCGGGGGTGTTTCCGAGGAAGGCCCCTCCGATGCTAAAGTCAGTATAATGTGTAAAAGGAAGACACTATGCAAGAGAGTTTGTAGCTTGAGGCTTTTGTGGAATATTTCTGAATGCAAGAATGAGCATACGAATTGGAATATGACTCTCCCCTTGAATGTGTTAATATGAGGGCTTTTATACCTCATCATACTTGGAGAGGTTGGGCTTTAGCCCAATTGGCTTACTTTGTGGGCTGACTTTTGACTTTTGAGCAATTGGAGAGTTGAACCTTGACCTTGGGCTTTTAATTGGATCATTTAGTGCTCAGGCCCAATTTTGACTAAATTGGACCCAAACAACTTGCCCCCCAGACCCGATTTGGAAGAATGACGGGTCGGGTTTGATTTAACTCAGAAAAGGAGGGAAGTAAATGATTTAATTGATCCAAAAATTTGAATTTAAACCGTAATTAATGAGATAACAACGGTTAATGATTTGCGGAAGTTGGACGGATAATGGGCGGTTTAATCACAAGACATGTGTTTAATGGTTACTTAGTGGGTACTTAAGAGAAATTAAAGCACAGACTCTTCGTATCCCGTACCTGGAGATATAAACAGAGGCGCGTCATTCTCCTCACTTATTCACCAACACAAACCCAGAATTCTTCGAGAGAGAAACCAAGAACCCGCATCAAAACTTCGCAAATTCCCCCGAGCCTTGAGCTTAGAAACTGAGACTTGCCACTACGAACTCGTAAATCGGCAACTTTCGCTTCAGATTAAGGTAAATTCCTTTGATTTCAGTTTATTTTTCTTCGAATTCGAACTCCTTCCCCTTTTCTTTCGACTTTTCTCTTCGAAATAATCCATGGCAAGAGGAGTTAGAGGTAGAGCCCGTGCTCCAAGAAGAGCAAGGCCGATTCCCGATCCTAGGAATAGGATTGGGACCTGGAATGGTCAAAGGCCGGAGTCTGACCCTGCTGAAGGGATTAGGGCGACTCCCCTTTCCTCGGCTCCTCCTCAAAGAACGGATGAGCCGAGTGCTTCTGGACTGGACGATGAAATTCCCGCTGTCCTTTGGGATATCCTCCCTGGGTTTTCAGAGTGGGAGAATGCCGAAGTCGCTTCGGCCATGATAAAGAACCGCCCCTACTCATGGTGGGTAGAGAACGCCGATCAATATCGATTTGCTGAGCAAATTGAGTTGCACTACGGCATTTTTGAAGCTGATGGATATTGGTGCCGAATGCCCTCAGCATCCGATAGAATCCATCGTCCACCCCCGGGGTATGTGGGGGTGTACACGAGACAGCTTCAGTATGGGCTGAGGTTCCCTTTGGACGTTTTCGTCCGAGACTTGCTGATCCATTACAACATTTCCCTATGTCAGCTAACCCCCACCAGCATCCGAAGGGTGATGACATACTTATGGGTCTGCAAGTTCTTCAAATACGTGCCGAACCTGCACTGCTTCAGAAAGCTCCATCGGCTAGTGCCAAATATTCAGAGTGGGCACGGAAGCCATGGTTCTGGGTGGTATCGGATTGAGTCCCGGCCCCAATACTTGACCATGTGGCCAAATGACTCTTCAGACAAGGACTGGAGAGGTCAATGGATTTGGGTTAGGGCACCCATAGATCCGGGCCACCCTTGCGTCTTCAGCGCTCCCCGGTACTTAGCTGAGCCTGATCCCGAAATGGGAAGTCTAGGTCCCCCCGCAGATAACGGGGCGGATCCGAACCTGGATCAGCAACATATCTTCGGCAAGCTGCCGAACCCGGGGGGAGTGGTCGAATGCAGCATATCCCGGAGACTTGGCTCCCCGATACGCATTACGTTTTCCAAGAGAATATGCTAGCAGCTGTTGGCCTCAGCCGAAAGTTTAAGGATGGTAAGCTTCTTCGGCTGGGGCCGAGGCTTTTAACTACCTCTTTTTCTTCTCTCGCTTTGCTTTTTTATGCTGTGCCAACATATCTGAGCTAAACTTTTTCCCTTTCCTTTTTTCAGAGCGGGACGAGACCAACGTTGGTATTAACTACACTCGTCTTGGTGTTAACCGAGAGCGAGTTGTAACTGAACGGGCCCCGTCTATCACTGAGCCGAGGCATAGGGAAGTTCATCTGGACTCTTCCCACTTCCAAATTGAGGCTGTTGCTCTGTATCAGAGGCAGAAGCCTTGGTGGAAGAAGAGAGACCCTTGGTTTCAGCTGCTGAACGAAGAAGCTGAAGCTGCCCGCACAGCCGAAGAGGTTGCACGGGTACTTGAGGCTTGCGAAGGAGGAGAAGGGTCCTCCAGAGCTGCTGAAGCCGAAGCTGCAGCTAGAGCAGCTGAAGAAGACGAGGCTTTGCTGAAAACCTCGGTGAGCTTTCAGACAACTTTTTTCTTTTCTTCTTTTTTTTTTTTTTTTTACTCACATTCTTCTTCCCCCCTGTCTGTTACAGTCTGAAGAGAGTAACAGACACAGAGAAGGCAAAGCTCCTGTTCGTCCCGAAGATCAAATACAAGAGTCTTCAGACTCAGATATGGACGAGCAGCCCCTTCTGAAAAGGCGCCGAAGGATGGCCATCATCGGCCCTCATGATTTTCAGCAGAGGCCGATGACCATCGGCGTCGCAATAAGGGAACCTGAGGAAGGCAATGGATCGCCGAGGGTTCCCCAGCCAACACCCCAATCTCCTCAAAAGACCCCTCCGCCACCTCCTGAGATGGAGGTGGATCAGAGAACTCCCGAACCTAAGGGAGGGGTCCAAGAAGAAATCAAGGAGAGTGCTGCTGAGCACGAAAATAAAGATGCCGTGATGTCAAGTGCTGAAGGCTTCACGGCAGATATCGCAAGAGAGGTTGAGGCTTTCGTCCTCACCCCTGAAGAAGAGGAGGTCATAGTACTTGACTCCTCTGAGAAGGACGATGCTGAGACAACCAAGGCTAATCAAGCTCCATCGTCGTCCTTCCCTTCTTTCCAGACTCTGCATTCTGGAGAAATGGGTTTCTCGGCCCCCCGAATTCCAATCCCAGATCACATCTGGGACCTCATATGGGGTCAAAACCGAGAAGGAGCTGCAGCCTACTTCGGCAATTTTGCTGGCATGTCCGAAGTAGACAGGGCAAGGATCTGGTCGCTGAAGGCCACTGCTGGGATGGGCGAATCCAGTAGATCAGTTCCTGACCCAGCCAGGTCTAACCAACTGCTGATGATGCAGGTAATTTTCCTTCATTTCCTCCGAAATTCAGCTCTATTTTTTTCTTATTACTTATTTTTTTTTTGTCTTCCTGTTTTCAGTTCGTGCACAATCAGACTCTCACTGTAGAGCTGATTGATACCCTACAAGATAGGGTAGACGCTGCTGTGCACGAAAGGAAGGTGGCTGAAGAGGAAGTTAAGCTTGCTAAGCTGAAGCAAGCAGCAGCTGAAGAGAAGCAGCAGGAGGTTGAGGAGTACGGTAAAAAAGCTGCCGAAGCTCTGAAAACCTTCTGCGATGCTATGGAGATGGAGGTTTTTCCCCCACTGATGGAAGGGGAAAAATTCCTCCAGGAGCATATGGGAGTGGACGTCTCCAAATTCAAGGCTGCTATTGAGAGCCGAATTCAAGAAGGAACTGCTGCACAAGCTGAAGTACAGCAGCGTCTAGAGGCTCTTGAAGCCAGCCGAATGGCTGCTGAAGAGTTGCTCCTGGCCAAAGACGTCCAACTCTCAGAGGCTGCTGCTGCTGCTGGAGCTCAAAGAGCTAAGTTCCAAAAGGCTGAGGATCAACTGCTGATCCAGAAAGTTGAAGTGGCCCAGGCTCAGACAAAGGCTTCCCAAATTCAGCAAGAGCTGAATGAGCTGAAAGGCTCCTCCTCCCAAGTCGCTGATGAGCTGAAGAAATCCAAGGAAGACTTGGAGGAGACCCAGAAGAAGCTGGCTGATGCTGAGGCTTTACTCAAAGTCCGTGTCTATACCCAAGAGGAATATGAGATGGGTTTCAGAAACGGATTCCGAGTATGCCGAAGAGTCTGCCTTCATGCTGAGCCGAAGCTGGACTGGTCTAAATGTGCTGAGTGGGTCCAGAATCCCGAAGACCCTCACATGAAGTTTGCAACTCCAGCTGAAGCTGAAATTCTTAAGGCTGAGGAAGCCGAAGAGGAAGCTGAAAGACTGGAGTTGGAAGCTGAGCAGAGGGAAAGGGAGGCTCGGCAAAGTGCAAAGCCCGCCTCTTCTGCTGCTGGGGCTGAGGCCACCATGGGACTCAACGCTGATCAGTCTGATCCGCCGGCTGAAGCATAGGAACTCGGGCAGTCGTCTTCAGAATCTTGCGGTTCATCATGTGCTTAACTTTAGACTTGCCGCTTTCTGAGTTTTTTGCCTTGTTTTTTGCTTCAGCTTGCCTTGTCGTACAGCAGTTTTATTTTTTTGCTT